TCATCCTCCTGCCCCTCTGGGCCTCGCCCTCCTTCCCTCCTTTCAGACGTACCACAGGTTCTGCCTTATGACCTTCGGTACTGCTCCGCTTCTGTCTTCCCTTTGTTCCCATTCAGATGCCTTTGTTCCGATTCGGATCCCCTTTGTTTCCTTGTGCTTTTGCCCTCCCCATTATATATATCGGCGCCTGTACATACTCGTTTTAGGCCTTAGTCTGAAATCGACCTGAATTCCCCCCAAGAGACTTTCCCTCTGCTAGATCCGAAATTAGGGACCCCCAGGACAACCAGCAATGGCACAGCGCTCCACCTGAGTCGCTGAGGCCAAGGTCCTTCCATGCTAAGTCTCCGATTCCACTCCGGAGTCGTCTGAATCCACCCATTCTAACATGTACATATCTTATACTTGTGAGCTCAGCCATTTTATTGGTATTAAAGTTATTAGAATATCAGTGATTTACACTAGCATGTTATGCTCAGTCAATCGATCGTTGTTGAACTAATAAGTAAATAGAAACTAGTTACCTAGCGTGTTACAGTAGGACTGGGCACTGTCTTCATGACATCTGGAGGACTGATTGCATGGACTTCGAAGAAGCAGGGCACTATTGCCCTCACTACTCTGGAGGCCAAATATGCTGCCATCAGCCACGCTGTTCGGCGGAACTAGCACACGATCCCCAATTCCATGGCGGCAGTAAGCATATCGATATCTGTCATCATTTTATTTGCTACCATGCAGAGCATGAAGACAATTCTATTTTACATATTCGCTCCATCCCTTGTTTACTAAGTTTGTTTCTTCATTGACAGACGATGTCATGACTTGAGGGGAGTGAGCCATGACGACATGCCGGTATGTTTTGTCTCATCATGTTCTCCTACATCTTTTGAATGGCTGAAACAAGGCATACATATAAGTATTGGTAGGGCAGCCACATGGAATCATACTTACCTGGGAGCTGTATGCCACTTACGGACCGATTATGGAACACCAAGTAACATGTGCGTACCCTATGAGTGTAGATATTGAACATCAATAAAGAAATCCTCCCCCTCAGACGAACCTGAGGGAGAGGTGGTCCAAAAATTTGTTATATAAATTGCCTCCAAACAAGAGTGGCAGGGGTTGAAAAATTGATGACCACGAACGATATACTCCAGGCCAATCTGCAACAGTTGGCGTGCCTCTTGACTCATCTCCTGTGTTGAACATCTAGCCATGAAGTCTCACGAAGGTCAAGGCCCTGGCTGAACGCCAACGCTGACACATCATGGCCAACATCAGCATTCTGGACGAACAAGTGGAAAAGAGTGGCATGGGTGCAAGATATACTGGCCATGGAGACATGGGGGCACCTATCAACAGACTTGTCCGATCCGTCACCTGACACACCCCGTTCCCTCCCAGTGAAGCTCTGCTGCTGGCCCGCAGTGTCCCAGGAGAATGACACAGGAGAAGGTTATTGACTTAGTTCGCATACCATGGCTAACCGTGTCCCATTTCTTGGGGTCTCCCACCAAAAACATCAGAGCATAGCGGCAGGCTTCTCCACAGGGCCAGGGAGGTTTTGTGACACCATCAGTGTTCTGGACAAGTGAACCCCAGCGAACGATTGCAATGCATGAGGTGAGTGCAAGTTGGGGGGGCTGCAGAGACAACGAGTCGAGGTATATATATCCATGCTTGCTCCATGAGAAATGGTTGACAAAAAAATAGGCTGTCCACTTGCTCTGTGCCAGCAAGGACAAGCAAGTGGAGATGTCCACTTGCTCCGTGAGAAACATTTGACTAAATAGGCAAGGATGAGCAAGTGGACATCCCCACTTGCTCCGTGAGAAATGTTTGACTGAATAGGCAAGGACGAGCAAGTGAACATCTCCACTTGCTCCATGAGAATAAATAGGCAAGGACAAGCAAGTGGACATGTCCACTTGCTCCATGAGAAATGTTTGATTGAATAAGCAAGGACAAAACATGTACACAAAAAATGTTTGACCAAATCCCCTCATGGAGATGTCCACTTATTCCATGAGGAATTTTGATGCACAGTCGCATCTACAAATACTCAGTCAGGCTGTGGGAGATGGCATCCTCGATGTTTTCCCCCTTTGAGTGCATTAACATCCTTCTTGCATCCATGCTCGTCACTGATGTACCTGGTAGGTTCAAACAATGCCAAGACAGCCTTCTTCCCTCCAACAAGAAAAGTGAGCATGTCGTTGCCAATGTCTCCCTATGTGCTCATTTCTTTGGCATTTAGGATGCATCACAAAGAGGGTGGCCAGTGTCCTTCTTGTTCAGAGACATTCAGCAGTGAGGCTCGTTTGCAGATGCATGAGGCCAAGTGCAACAAGGGAATCGTCTTAGTTCCGGACAACGATAAGGAGGAGCTCTCCAACTGCCAGGTGCTGCATTCAAACGATCTAATCATCCCCCCGAGTTTCATCATCTCCAGCTGGGGATCGATCCTTGCTGGAAGGTTATCGTGTGCCAGGGATGTAGAGTGGGTATCAAACCTGAGTATCTCACGAATCACATAAACTCCAAGCATAACAACATTGGCCAATACCTGCCAACTACAAGGATATCCTCATCCAGCTAGGCGTCCCATTCACTGTCACTCATCCAAGGTCCAAGGTGCCCCCCATCCAATCTATCCCCATAGTCCCTGGCTTCATGTGTTCCTTCCCTGGCTGCGGATTTGCTGGCTTGGCAAGAAAGTCGATGATAAGTAACCATCACCACAAAGAGTGTTTCAGACTCATCGAGAGCTCAGTCCAAGTGATACTGAAGGCAAACAAAGGCCATCAGGTGTGGCCTGTCGACGAGAATTATGTGTCTTGCAGCGTTTTGGACCCCGATCTACAATCCTTCTTCATGGGTCTCTTCCAGGAAGAAGAATCCAGATGGAACCCAACCACGATGGATGTTTCCGACGACCCACGCCATGTGAACGGTTTCTTAGCCACCTTTGGGTGGCTGAAGCTCACTGAGCGTCTCCCTTTTCAGGAGTTGCACGAGATCACTCTAGCTCAAGTGTCGACTGATCCCCAATGGTTGCAGCCGCTTTCTGGTCGGGTGGCAGGGTATTTCAAGAGGATTCATCCACTGATCGAGATCACATCACCTATCATTTTAAAATGGGTCAACAGCATGGCCAAGTGAGTGCTTGCTCTTTTTCTTGTCGTCTTTAGATTGATGCGTGCATGCAGCGCCATTGTTAGAACCGGGCGGAAACAGACGACTCCGGAGTGGAATCGGAGACTTAGCGTGGAGGGACCTTGGCCTCAGCGACTCAAGCGGAGCGCTGTGCCATTGCTGTTTGTCCATTTGGTCCTTAATTTCACAGTAGGTGAGCAGGAAGTCTCTAGGGGGCATTTCAGGTCGATTTCGGACTGAACCAAAATGAGTATGTACAAGCGCTGATATATATAATGGAGGGGGCAAAAGCACAAGGAAAACAAAGGGTAACTGAATCGGGCTGAAGACGTCTGAACGGGAACAAAGGGTAGAAGAAGTGGAGCAGTACCGAAGGTCATAAGGTAGGACCTGTGATACGTCCGAAAGGAGGTAGGGAGGGCGAGGCCCAGAGGGGCAGGAGGATGAGGAGAAGTGGGGATGATGACTAACTGGCTAGAATGGGAAGAAGCAGTAGTCCAAATAGGGATGAGGGGTAAACGCGAGAAATACATTACAAGCAGTGAGAGTGCCGAAGGTGATCCGTGAAGCTCGGGGGTTGCAGAGGTTACGGAGGTTACGGAGGTTACGGAGGCGGGGTTGAAAGTCCGAGGGATATTGGCAATGGTGTTTACGTAGTATGAGGTCACCAATGCAATGGACTAAGACCGAGGTGGAGTCAAAGTCCGAGGTAGGGACTATGATGGAGGCTCGGAGCAAAGGTACGAGTGGTGTCCGAGTACGAAGTACGGGACAGCAGTGGAAGGTCGTAACTTGGCGGGAGGGTGGCAGAGGAGTACCAGAGGGAGGAGAGAGGGGAAAGGCAAGGGAGAAGGAGTGGCGGAAAGGAGAGTTGTCAGGTCTGAAGGTGAGTATCGGAGCGGACGGGGGAAGCGTAGGAGGGTGACGGGAGGGTGGTGTGTTGTGAAGGAGGAGTGGAGTAGGAGGGTGGCGAGAGGGGCAGTGTTCGGTCCAAGGTGAGTATCGGAGCGGACGGAGATAGGGGAGGAGAGGGGAGGAGGAGTAGAGGTGGTGTGAGGGGTAGAAGGAAGTGTGTTGCCAGGACCGAAGGTGAGTATCGGAACGGCAGCGGGAGGGTATGACTCCGGAGGTGAAGAGGGTGGAGGTCCAGAAGTCGGGTAGGGGTTGGGTATGCACAGATATGACAGCCGTCGAGAACATCCCCTTCTCTCTACCTCAACACGCCTCAACGTCGATCTGGTACGAGCAATTGGCTTCACGGCTGGTCACCTTTGTTCTCAGATACTGTCATGTCAACGAAGAATTCCCCCTCCACATCATCCTCACCGATGGGCAAAAAGGGGATATAGCAAGGCTATATGAGGCCCTCTGATCGCCAGTGGCACTGGACGACAATGATGAATGGGACTTATTGATCCATTGCCTCCTTCACTTGCTCCTCTTTTCAACCCACCGAAAAATCTTACAGGAATCCAAAAAGGATCCTGTACTCATCTTCCTCATGCTATTGAACCTGGATCCCAACAATGGGAGGTTTGCATCCTGTTTGGCAATATGTGGCCGGATGTCAGGGATGCTCCATGTCTTCCGGTTGGTGGCGATCAAGGAGATTCGTATAGCAGCAATCACTGACGAGGGATCATTGGTGGAGGATGTGGTGAAGAGCAACGAGTTCATGTAATTTTATTTTTATTTTACCTCTCATCTATGACCTCTAATGGGGGGTTTTTTTTTTCCAAAGGACCTGTATGGAGCTATGCTCCCGCTGGCTGCGTTCCAGATTTCCCAGTCCATTCGATACAGTGTTGTCTGCTGACCATTATGCAACCACCATTGCCATGAACGATGAGGAGGGGTTTTCAACAGTGATGTGGAACGACGATAACAAGTCCATGATGGTCAAGGGCCAGCGAATCCAATTGGGGGATGTTCCCACCCTCTACAATGGGATCTTGGGGCTCATCAAGGAGAAGATCCAATGGCTCTCCCAGGGAGTTGAGCTCCAAATGCCTTTCCAAGAATGTTCTGGGATCACCGATGACCTCCACAATAGAATCCCCAACTATAGCTTTCTCAGCGACCCGTGCATCATGAGTGTCAGACGGGATCTGCTCATTGCCCTTGGAAAGCCCAAATGGTTCGTCACCAACCCCGATGGTGGGATCGAGTGGAATCAGTTGATGTTGTCCAAGTGGATGGACATGGCACAGGAGATCAACACCCTGTTTCTAGTAGCCATCCATCTAGGTGGTGGGCAACCAGCAAGGGGAACTGAGATTTCCAGCATTCTGATAAGGAACTGCCAAAATGGCCACAGGAGCCTGTTTGCATTGGATGGTGGATTGACCAGTATTATTGGTTATAATAAAGTGAGTGACAGTCATGAGTGATGGTCTCGGTTAATAACATATCGCCCACCAGACCACTGTGAGGACCAGGCGCTGCAAGCACATCTTATGTTTCCTACACAAGGGTCTATCGGAACTGCTGCTAAAATACCTGATATTCATCAGGACAGTAGAAGAGGCGTTGCTGCATTCCTTTGGGGGGAGGAGGAACAAAATCACATGCACTATTATCTCTTCTACTCGTTGAAGGGAGGTATGGTCAGCACTTCTGATCTGAGCATGAGCCTCCATGCGCAAACGACATGTTACCTCAGAGCAGGTCTGGACGTGTCTGTCATATCCATACAATCCCGACCTCCGCTCCGGGCTCCCGGAACCCCGAAACGAACTCCAGAGCCCTACTTCCCTTCCATCACCTTCTCCTTGCCGACTCCCAAGAGGTTATCCCACCTCCGGCTCCAACACCACCTTTGGTCCGACTCCGGAACATTCCGGGTCCGACCCCAACCTCGACACCTTCCAGACGAGTACGCAACACCTATGCTCCCGACTCCGGACCTCCGCTCCGGAATCCCGTTGGCGTCTCTGTCTCCGGAACCTCCGGTCTTAGCTCCGACCTCGGACTTTGACCCCACCTCCGCTTATACCCATTGTATTGGTTAGCTCATTCCATTTAATTATGTTTGCCAATATTCCGGAGTTTACTCCGAGTTCAGACTTTCCGGACTTACTCCGGACCTTGCAACTATTGCATTGTCCATTTCAATTTCGCTATTCTCCCTCATTCCTATTTGGGCTGCTGCTTTGTCAGCTAGCCATTCCCGACTCCCATCCTCCTTCCTTCCTCCTTGGGCCTTGGCCCTTCATTCCTCCTTTGGGAAACACCATTGAGTCAAACACTTGACCCTCGGTGTTGTTCCTCTTTCCATCTCCCTTTGTCTCCTTTTGTCCTACCCTTGTTCCTTTTGATTCCGGACCCCTCCTTATATACAATGTACCTAGTAACTTGTAACCTCAGTCCGAAATCGACCTGAAATGCCCCCTAGAGACTTCCTGCTCACCTACTGTGAAATTAAGGACCAAATGGACAAACAGCAATGGCACAGCGCTCCACTTGAGTCGCTGAGGCCAAGGTCCCTCCACACTAAGTCTCCGATTCCACTCCGGAGTCGTCTGTATCCGCCCATTCTAACAGTGTCCACGTACAGGCATATGGCTGCTGTGATCAGCCGACGTTTAGAGGTTGGCATCATCGATCCAGAGGAGGACGAGATGACGACAGGGATGGATGCCCAGGCAGGGTGGCTCACAACGACGTTGGAAAAAATCTATGGTCTTCAGAAGGATGAGGTCGGTGGCATCAATGATTGTGTCATCACACTCTTCCATGCAACCAGTCGCCTGTGGCATGACAAGGTGCTTGGGCTCCCTGTATGTGGTCGTGTGGTTGATCTGAAAACGGTCTTGGACCATGAAACGACCATGAGCCAGCTTTGGGGGCCGAGAAGGAGAGCGAGCTGGATCTCAGTCATGCTGGACGATGACAGTCAGTGGCGGCAGCAGTGGAACAACTGGATATCTTGAGCATGGTACGGAACCTATTAAAGGAGGCAATCGAGCAAGATGTGATGCCTCAGCTCCTTGGTATGGAGGAACATCTCATGGCTCGGCTAGGGGTTATGATGAGTAGCGAAGGCAAACCACCACCTCCTGCTGTGACGACAACCTCCTCCATCACTTCACTCCCTGAACGGAGTACACACCACCCCTCCACCCATTCCCGACGCATCTACTCCTGCAGCCATAGTGGATGATGAGTTCGAGTGGGAGGAACTGCCCTCGGGCAAAGCAATGGTATGTTCACTAACGTTTTCTGACTACACATGATTCATGGGAACCTTGTCACGTCAGGATAATATCCATGCCTCACCTGGATTGAAAAATCCACTGAAACAAGAAGAGGACGATGGGCTCTGGTACATCAAACACAGCCAATGGAACCCTGGAGTGGGCAGCGCCACAGTGGTCAACCAACAACAACGACCCCAACACAATCATGTCCAACCAGGGGATTCGGAGACAGGGAAGCAGCAGCAGCAGCAGCAGCAACAACGACAGAAACAGCAACAACAGCAACAGCAACAACAACAATGGCAGCGACAACAACAACAACAGCAACAGCAACAACAGCAACAGCAACAACAGCAACAACAACAACAGCAACAACAACAACAGCAACAACAACAACAGCAACAACAACAACAGCAACAACAACAACCTCCTGAAGAAGAGCTTCCTTCCCATGCAGCCGCTGATGAAGGTAAGCATCCTCTGAAGAAATTTCACGTTGCCCCGCGGGACTTACTCCGTGAGATCCAACTGAATGATACAGTTAAGGTCACAAGACAAGGACATAAAATCATGGACAAGCCTGGCATCGAAACCAGGACCTCTCAGTGTGCTACCATTACACAACTCGCCCGTTTGACCATGCCAGTATAGGCTGTTAAACTCTATACCGATGGGAACAGATATCCATTCTCCAACATCCTCTCTTTCTATGGAGACCTAAGCCAAGAAGTTCCCTCAGAGTCCTCAACCCCCCTACTCCCCATCATTGTCCCCCAAGAGGTAGATGGCAATGAGTTATCAAGGCTATACAATCCAAAGGCCACTGACAAGCTTCGAACCCCACTCAGGGATCAAAAAGCAACCTTTCGGTCCCCTGCACAGTAGCAGGTCTACTGTGAGATCATGAAGAGGCAGCGTCATTGTCTATATGTTGCTGGCTGTGGCGCTGGTAAGACATTACCGTTCATGCTTGCTGCCATGTCTTGGGGGATCACCAAGCAATCGATCTTGGTGTTGCCCTACCAGATCCTCCACCCGGAAATGCACAGGCGCTTGAGCAAATCCAACATATCCAATTGCAAATGGACGATGGAAACTCCATCTCCTGGGGAGCAAGTGGTCACTGTGGCCATCGAGTCCTTCAGCAACAACATATTCATCAATTGGCTTGCAGGAGTGGCGAACAATGGAAGGCTGGGATGCATCATGTTCAATGAGGCACATGGGATCGTAGAAGATCAACTGTTCCGTCCAGCCTACCTCGATGCCGTCCGGAAGCTCATGCAGCTGCAGAATGCCCCCATCCTTTTTACATCGGGCACGATGTCGTGGGGTTTCACTTGGAAGTTTTGGAAGGCTGCTGACCTCCTGTATCGTCCAGACCAGTCTGCGGTGGTGATCCACACGAGGACCCAATGGCCACAGATCTTCTACCAGTTCGTGGTACTGGGGATGGGTCAAGAGCCTTGCAAGACGGATCTTCCAGACGTTGTAACGGGTCTATCAATCTAGACTCGTGGCTCAGGTCTAGGGGGGGTAGGTCTCTCTCTATCACTCAGGGTAGATGTGGGTCCTGCGAGTACGGTGCGATACTCTGTCTAACCTCTAACTAACTGTCTGTACAGTTGTCATGGAAGAGTCCGATACAAATAGAAAAGGAAAGTCACATGCATGAAATAGTAAAGATAATAAAGAACATGTCATATCTCCTCAACAACCCAACCAAATCCAACGATCTTGGACTCGTCAGAACCACCTCCACAGTCTCTACAACTCCTACTATTACCACGACTCACCAATCTTAGTCCCTGATGCAGTAGGGGGTGAAATGTGTGATAAGGGTTGGTTTGACCTGCACGGACTTGTCCCCACAACAACGTCAAGATGGCCTGGAACATGGAATGGCATGCATGGACGGTTGAGGTCATCCGCCAGGTGGAGGAGGGTCTGAAGGGCGATGAACGGGGGTTGGTGTTCTTCGTGAGCAAAGAGGAATGCATGGAATGGGCCATGCACTTGCACTGCTCATACATCACTGCTGATGTCCCATCCGATGACTGTCGTTGCTGTTTCGATGATTGGTGTCAAGGGAAGCGACAAATCCTGTGCCTCAACAAGGCAGGCTACTATGGCTTCGATTACCATGCTGTAGCCTTTTCAATCTTCGTTGGGCAACCTTTCTCTGTGAACAACTTCTACCAGAGTTTGGGGAGGGTGGCTCGAGGTGTTAGACACTGGTCCGGGGTCGGCACCGAAGGTCACCGTTAGCGGGCCGCTATAGGCCGCGATGGCTGTGATGCCACGAACAAGGCCCAAGGGTAGGGCATTTGGCCTCAGCGACTCTAAAGGAGCGCTGTGCCCCCTAGCTGTCTCTTGGCCCTCATTTCAGACTTACTGGGGTTGCCTTGTTGGGGTCAGGACTTAGGGGTCATGGTCAAATCGATATTAGAGCTAAAGTACTATAATGTAGTATACAGGATATATATAGGAGGAAGGAATGAATGGAAGCGGACCCAGGCCGAAGGCCGAAGGGTCCGGAAGCAAACAAGAATAAGGAGCGGGGTTGGCCGCATAGCGGCTGGCAATGACCAAGGGTCAAAACAAACAATAACAGATAAATAAAGGAAGGAGTGTAGGGCCGCAATAGTGGCGATGGTATTGTAGCGGCGCTGGACTTGGAGTTGGGCCGGAGTCGGGCACGGGAATGGTAGCGTCCCTGTAGGGGCCAAGTGGGCGGGGTAGAGGAGTCGCACTGGGCACAGTGCTGGAGGTGGACTCAGGGTGGGAAGGTTGGTGTGGCTGTGGGGAAGTCAGCCAGGTGCAGGGGAGCCTAGGGGCAAGCAGGGGAGTGAGCAGGGAGTCCTCATGGAGGATAGGGCTGAGGTTGGGGCTTGCACTCACGCTCGCATAGCGGGAATGGGCTTGGGCAGCATCGGGATGGGCCGGGAACAGGCTGGAATGCACAGCCATGACACAAGGTCTGCAAGTTGGAACGAGCCTTGTGTTGCTTCCAGCTCCTCCAAAGTGCTTTTCCGCCACACAGGAGTGTTTTGAGGGTTGTGTGGCCATGATGAAGGCCGTTCAACAGTACATGATGTGCCATTGGGTCATGCCTTCGCTGCATCTGGATAGCAAGGGTGAAAACTGTATGGGCCTTCGGGAGTCAGAGCCAGGGATGGTGCTGTGTGTGGCGTGTTACAAGGACAAGAAAGGCAAGCTGGATGACTATGATTTTGATCTCCGCTGGGGTAAACCTTTCGGTGAGTCTCTCCCTTCCTCTCTCCCTCTGTGTTCCCTCTGACGTGGCCCATCTAGAATTGAGGGCAGCAGTGGATGATAGCGATGAGCCCATGGTGATAGATGGAGGTTCGCAGACATCGATGCAACTGCATGGATCTTGGACACCTTCTTCCACCGATTGATTGGCTGGCACTTCAAAGAGTGGGCCTTCAGCCTTGGAGATCAACGCTTCGCTCCAGCTGTCCAAATCCAACGCTTCTTCTGCCGTCCCCATTCAAGTGGAAAAATGTCTCTGGGAACTCAAGGGCAGGTGCTTACTGTGTTGGTTGCACGGTACACACTGCTCACACCTCACATCATGCTGTCTTGGCACCACCACATGACAGGGATGGCAACAATATCAGGAGGGATATCACGAGTGGAAGTGGAAGCGTGGCCTATTTTGCACCAAGGGGGACGGTAAGGACATTGAGGGGTATTGTTGGAAATGCCTCCTCAACATGGACTCTAGTTTGGTGCACACTTGTCCAATGAAGGACAGGTGCAAATTTCCTGATATGATTCCTGAAATGGCCTGGATGGTCCTAGGCTCGGAGGCGCTCCATAAGGGTCTGGCCAACTACATTGGTGATCCCAAGGTAGAAACCATATGTGGGTACGAATCATGGCTGTTGGGGAGATGGGAGGGCAATAAGAAATGGTGTAACAGTTCCACTCTGCTTGTACTCTTCTTTTACCGATGTTGCTCATCAAAATAGTAATGTGCCCTTGTGTCAGGTGGTGAGATACCTAGCTCTCCTGCATGTATGCGCTTTGGTGCTTTTCTTTCGTGCGAGGACATTGCCACTCAATGACGCTGGGTATTATAAGCATCTCCCAATAATAGCTTAGACAACATATCATTAAAGATGTCACATGGGTCCATGTGTGTGCTCTCAGGTGTATTGTGATACCTAACTTCCTCCTCGCATACTGGTGGGAAGTTTCTGAGCGAGCAGCTCACCCAGAAACCATCACAGCCACAGCTGTGGGAACCTTCTGGGCGAGCTGCTCACCCAGAACCTTCCCACGGGGGAGTACCTATTATGGGGGGTCAGCCGGAGCTCCAACAACTTCCAGACGCCCTCCCCCAGGGTTGTCACTGAGACTGAACCTGACATGTACATGTAGGGAAAAGGAGGACTCACATAACCTAACATGGTATTCTCTTGAGTTGTTTTCTCTATATAAATTTTTATCATCTTTTGGTACATACTCTCTGTCTTGCTTGCATTCTGTTGGACGCTTCGATGTTCTTCACTGCACATCAATCTGCCTTCCACTTGTATCGTTTTTGTTCCCAGTTCAATTTACATCCATAACTGGTCCTTGGCATCTGTTTCTTTTTTCGCATTCTTCCAGTAATCTTGCCTACTTTCCTTGGTCGCTCAACATTGCTCAACGAGGCCTCTGATGTTTGTGCCACACTAACTTTGTTGCTGCTTGCCTGCCTGTCGTGCACAAATCGGTCTTGGCCATCACAGGGCCTGTTGCTATTTCGAACTTTCTCCCACGCCTATCACCGCCTGGATCCCTGATATGGTTGGAATTTCAAATCGTCTGTGGTTTTGGTCGCAAAGGTAGGCAAAGTACAAGGTACATGGCTGTTGGCTGACTTTTCTAGGTGAACCCAAACACCGATATCATGCTCATAAGCCCAAACCAGCCAGATATAGGGGATCGTTTGTTTGTTTGTGTTTGGTTGTTCAATTGTTTTTGCTTCCTTGTTGCGTTGCTACCCTCCCATCATCATTCTCTCATGCTTGGCTTACGGTATGGGTTGGTGTTGCCATGTAGATCTCGCTTCCATAGAATAAGCCGGAGCTGCTCAATACAAACCCAAACTTCCATTCTCAGGAACAGTTGATTTTGGCTGCCGTCTTCACTCAGATGCATGTCCAGTGTAACCGAGCTGTCAGTGCCTCTGGAAATGCTTAAATACTGCCATCAATCCATGAGGATCCTCCAATAATGGCAAGAAATATGTGGACCGAGTTCAGCGACTACCGAGATTGGATGTACAAGGGCTCTGCCATCGTAAGTGAAGTAGTTATGCTTCCCATGCACATTCACTCATACACACCTAGGTTCCTCTCCGTCAACTGGTCGATCTGGAAGGCAACTGCCAAGTAGATGAAGAGTTTGTCGCCAGGTACCATGAGACTTGGGGGGGCAGCATCGACCCCTTGATGCACGAGATGATGGGGTTGCTTCCTGATGACGATGGGTTGGACCTCCAAAGTTTTCCTGCAGACATCCAGGTACAGGTCGTCCATGGCCAGCACCGAAAGAGGGTGCTGGAAATGCATATAAGGACTCTGCTGCAGCAAGAGCATGAACTTGCACATCCTGATGAGGAAGTGTCCTCACAGGAATTCCCGATAGAGGCAGTGTATGTGCATCCCTGCGCATTTTGGAAGGTGAAGCTCTATGGGCAATGTGAGAAGATCCTCCTTTCTGTCTCATCATGTCGTTGATTTCATCATCAGCTCTTCGAAAGAACCATGAAGTCATGTTCCGTGTTTGGCTGGCCAAAGATAACAAGATGGAGGACAAGGTGCCGAACAAGTGGCACTACATGTTTTCGGTCATGCATGGGGTGATCAAGTCAAAGAATCCAGCACTGGCTACGATGGAACTGGGTTCAGCCTGGAGGGCGGTGGAGGAGAAGGAGATGTTGCCGTTGCAGGATGTATGGAGATCGAGTGAGCTGGCAGAGGCCATTGGGGACCTCCTCACGATCCCATGCTGGAGGGAATGCGAAAAAGTGCCATCTAGCATGGAAAGGTGGACTCATTGTGGGATGCATCAGGTGAGCGACATGCAGTTTCGTCATCTTTTTGTCTGACACCTCAGAAAGCTCTATGCACAGCTGATAAGAACTCACATCACGCAGCTGAGTGCCCTGGTGCAACCACGGGGGGTAACATCAGTGACTGTGTTGGACCTTGCCCTTTCGTGGTCCATCAACTTCCAGCACCCTCCTAGGTGGACCACTGTGTTGAACGACAAACCCAATGCGATATACAGCCAAGGGGTGATCTCGGAGGCGAAGAGGGTTCCAGATGGATACAGGAATGCCCTTCAGGACTGCAAGTTGAACACTTGGGGATTCCTCCCTGATGATGTGAGCTTTTTTTTTCCCCATTCCTTTCTTTTCTTGACGTCTCTCCAAGTTCCTACATCCAGCCTATCTCCAGGCGAACAACTCGCGAGTTAATTTGGAGATGTCCAAGATACAAAGGACCTTCATTCTCGTAAGTCTTTCTGTCCTTGTTTGGTGTTGTTCATTGAAGCCCTACATATCAGTTGGTCTACATCGTCTTTGGGGAGAAGCAGGCCAAGAAGATGATGAGTCGGATGAAAGGGCATGGTGGAAGAAGGAAGCAAGAGGATGTGGATGCATTCCATTTCACTCAAGATAACGAGGAGCTCTTTTGGGACACTGTGCTCCCAAAACTATGCGTGGCTAAGGGTCATAACACCGATGGCATAAGAGTACTCTTGCTGTCTTCTTGTCCTTTTTTTTTTTTCTTTTTTCTCATGATGCCGTTCAGTTACTGGAAGAGATCTTCCTATCTCACCTGATCCGTCAAGGCACAGTGGATGCCACGTTCAAGAAACAGGATGTGGACGAGACGAGTGACAACTTGGACAGGTTTGATGTCGTTCGGATCACAGACATGGTCAGGAGAAACGAAGGGTGGTGGGCCTTGCTGAGACGGTTCGCTGGATGGGAAGATAAAGCCTATCATTTCATCTCTGGGGTAGTCATCGAAGCGGCTTCCCCAGACCGCTTCCAGGAACTTTGACAGGTGTCAGAGGCAGTCGTGGAGCAGCTGGATGGTGCGGTGGACAAGTACTACGACAGTATCTACCACCTTGGACAGCTGAGTTCGCACTGTGACGAGGTGGAAAAGTCTAGGGAGATGGTGCAATGCAAGCAGGTCAAGCTGGATCGGGAGGAGAGGGAGCTGGATCACCAGCTTCACAGTATAGTGGAGGATGTGCTTCAAGAGGACTCTACAGCTATGAATTGGGCAAAGGCCAGGTACGACGAGCTTCCCCCAATCCCACCCCCCAACAACATTGGGGACACACAGGGTTATGGATTGGAGCAGATGATGGCGTCTCCTTTGTGTCAGGGTCATGCGTGCTCGCAGTGAAGGATGCCCCAGGAACCTAATTGATATCAAAGCTGGGGGACATGCCCATCCCAGCACACGGTCATATATACACAGTAGAGGCGGTAACTAGTCAACTAGCTAATAACCGGTAGTATTGGATCAAGAATGATAGAAGATCATGTGGCGTCATAACCGACAGCTGCAGATCAGATCAGATTGGAGATGAAGAAGAAGAAAAGAAGTAGAAGCTGAGGGAGATATGGGTCATGTGGCAATGTGCTACTTACGCTAGCGACCCGAAGGCGTGCCCTGACACTTTGCCACCTGTTATAGCTTCGTCGTTGGATACTACATCTTCCCCCCCTTCCCATAATTCTGGCCATGATGATTCTCTCCCTTCCTTGGTGCCCCACAGTGACGTCGACCTATTCCTGGATGACCTTCAGTTCCAAATGCAAATAATGTTTGAAAAGGATTTGCCCAGCTATGATTGCTGGAACAAGGCCCACTGAATGAAGGATTTCCTCTTCCGGATGGTGCAGGATCCCTTGATATCTAGTGCCATCATGGATGGCAAAGTCACTGCCAAGGACATGATGAGCTTGGCCAGCATCCCCCCACCAGCACAACCCATGTCGTCATCATCATCACTGCAAACAACCCCTGAACAATCCTCAAGGAAGAGAAGATGGTCATCGTCTGCTTGTCCAACCTCGAAGAAACTCAGAAGGGCCTCTGACCAAATCGATGACAGGGCAGTCGTGCTGAGACCCGATCGCTGGCATCAAGTGGCAAGTCAAGCGTGGGTGGGAACCCCTCCTTTGACCATAGGCCCACTGCACCGTGATCACCAGACTCAAGGTACTGCTCCAGTGGGAACACAGCAGGATGACTGCGATGAGGATGCAACAGAGGATCCATCCTTGGATGAGCCAGATGCTGCTGGATCCATGCTGGAGGAGTTACCTGATGCTGCTCTTCCTCCCTTGGATGCATGCCAGGAGGATACACGTATGGTAGACGATCTGTACTCTCAATGCCCGCTGAAAGAGCTGCTCTCTGATGGGTGGAAGTGGGATGCTGATTCGATGCCAGAAGACCTGTGGATGGGACAGGATGGACCGAGTGGGGGTGTGACGGTAGTAGAATCACAGGGTGTTGAATATGAACAGCAAACATCGCAACACTCTCAAGTGCCTGGTACTAGCAGCAACCACACTTCCCAGTTGGACCATCTGCTGGGGACCCCTGATCACACGATGCTGAATCGTTACATAGGATATCAATATTGGAGCCAGGGATGGCAGAATGAATAGTTGTGTATTTATTCCTTTGTTGTCAGGGCCTGAGCATGGAATGCTATTGAAAAAAAAAACCGCATTGCTGTCTGACGCAATGGTGTGTGACAGCGTCCCACCAAGGAAGACACACCTTCCCAAGTGCCGGTTGGGTATCTGTCAGGAATGCATATCCAGAGTGTCCATAACGGTTGCATGAAATCACCTGGGCTCATAAGGTTGGAGGGGTGGGAAGTTAGCTTCAGCAACTCGGGTGGAGTGCTGTGCTCGTTCTTACACTGGTGCCCCAATTTCGGATGGGAGCCTTACAACAAGAGGTAGAGACGAGGGGGGAATGCTAGTTGATATATGAACTGAGGTGCATCCAGTGTAACCTACACAAGTTATAAGTACAACTAACTAAATAGGACTGGAGTGGGCGGATCAAGAGACAATATGAAGAATAAACAAATGGTTAATATTAGCAATCAGGATCAACGCTTTTGATCTTGTCTTAACAGCCACTTAAACCCACCCCAAACTCACTCCCAACATCCTCTGGATTAGGCCCAGTTTAGTTCCTGAGTTTAGCAATCTAGCCAACCATGAAACCCCCTAATGAACGGCTTGTGTGCATGCCAGATGAGACACAACAGAATAGCGTGGCAACAGTCCCGGCCAATGCCAGAACCTCTTGAAATTGAAGATGGGAAGCCAGTAATTAACAGGCAGGAGACCGGGGATGGAGGGTAACACGAAAAACAAGGACAATGAGGAACAGGAGGAACAAGAGCAGAAGTTACAAAGAACAAGGAAACAACTGAAGATAACGAAACCTAGAAAAAACCTGAATAAGCAATCAGGATCCCACCTGCCGAGAGTAACCGAAGGTCACAACACCTCCCCCTCAGCGAGACCGAAAAAGCTTACCGGAAGCAAGGAAGAGTAATAAAACTTGGACGAAAACACAGCTTGCAGGCCAAAGGAATGAGACTAAGGAAGAAAAAAGGGAAAAGCAGAGGACGAGGTGAAAGTGGGCCAGAGCCCTGTAGTATAGGCGGACAAAGAACACGCACAGAATTTGTCTGGAGAAATCGATCCAGGAATGCAGCGGCAATAAACCTGAATCGGCATGACTGCAACCTTGGAAGGCACAGTATGTGTAAGGCCAACAGCAGGTACAGTGCATAAGATGTAGCATCACCGGGGAATGTGCCAAGCGAATTCAGACCGACCACACACAAGTCTATCTCGTACCTCCATTAAATAACAACAAAAAAAACCTCTTGGAGGTGCCATAGAGACTCTTTGGGACCGACTATCTAAGCAGGAGGAGAGTGGTCAGCCCTATGAAAGCAAGGAGGATTGGGAACTTTGTTATTGGTTGAGCATGGAGGGTGTTTCACAAGGAGGGATTAATTGCTTCCGAAAGCTTAAATGGGTGCGTGAGCCTAACATTCCAGATAAATGATCGCTACCAGCTGTGTGATTAGGTGACAGACCATCTGCATCCACCAAGTTGGAAGGATGCAGCTTCAATGTACAATTGGGTGAAGATGATGCCAGGCCCACCTTCATGGAGGTCCAATACAATAATCCTCAAAGAAGCGCCCAATGAGCCACAAACACTCTACTGGCATGATCCCATGGAATGCGTGCACTTCCTATTCCAGAATCCAGACTTTGATGGGGGTATTGCCTATGCGCCCTCATGGGTGTATTGTTTGGATGGAACACGGGTTTATTCAGAGATGACGATGGCAAACAAGTGGCACTTTCAGCAAGTAACTCACATCATTCCAGTTAGAGTCCTCAAGCTCACAGTGATGTTTAGTGATTTATTCATGGCAAGATGGATGCCATACATTTCAGGTATCATCGGTGGCATGGTGGAAATCTACATGGATGACTGTCAAGCTACTCACTACATTCCTGGTTTGCATTGGGGTGATCAAGATGTCAGAGTCAACGTCCTTGGTAAACTTGAAGCTAATATCTCAAAAGGAAAGTTTAGCTTGGGTTTAGTGCTTGTAGACTTGGGGACACAGCTTTGCAGGAAGTACTGCTAGCTTGACCCAGTGTCAGTTGTAGGTTGAGTTAGTTGGGACCGGGGCCTCAGTGAGTCCAAACCCCCAGGTGCCCTTGCAATGGGTGGAAGGGTGGATGGTCCGATGATGATAATAGTCAGTGGCACTAGGGCGGGTTGGCGGAGTTGTGACAGCTCTTTGCCAACTTTCCGTAACTGGCACCCCCCATGGGAAGATTCTGGGCAAGCTGCTCACCCAGAATCTTCCCATGGTTGTGGCTGTGATGGTTTCTGGGCAAGTCGCTCGCCCAGAACTTTCCCACAGGTCTGCGTGTTCACAAATGCATGGATGCGCTTTCCTTTCACTGTCAACCACGGCTGTAGCAACTGTACATTCATATTTCACTTCCTCAGAGTGCATGATAGTGTAGCAGTTATTACTATTCTACAATGTGAGAGTGTTGGAACAGCAGGTGCCATTGAGAGGCTCTCAACATGTTACAATGCTTGGGTAGTTTCCAACAAGGACCATTTGGGGGCTCCTCAAAATACTCATCCTAGGCGTCAGGAAAGCCTGGGAACTGTACAGTTCTCAGCTCTTTGCAGACTTCCCATAACAGGCATCCCCCATGGGAAGGTTCTGGGTGAGCTGCTCACCCAGAAAGTTCCCATGGGTCCATGTGCATGTGGGGTCAAGGGCCATACCTTGACATAATGGTTATGTGGGGTGCCATGTACTGCATGCAGCAAGAGCAGGGAATACAGTGTCTGTGAGAATAAAAGCAAGTGGACATCGTCACTTGCCTGCTGTGAGAAAAAGAGCAGGTGAACATCTTCACTTGCTAGCCATGAGAAAAAAAGCAAGTGAACATCTTCACTTGCTGCATGAGAAAAAAAGCAAGTGGACATCTCCACTTGCTAGCCATGAGAAAAAAGCAAGTGAACATCTTCACTTGCTAGCCGTGAGAAAAAAAGCAAGTGGACATCTTCACTTGCTTAAATCCTCCTATGCACCTGCCTTTTCCATTCAATCCTACTATGACTGTAGTAGAGACACTAAGATGGCACCAACATCCTACTATGCACTGGCCTTTTCCATTCAATCCTACTATGACAATAGTGATCTTCACTTGCTAGCCATGAGAAAAAAAGCAAGTGAACATCTTCACTTGCTGCTGTGAGAAAAAAGCAAGTGGATATCTTCACTTGCTTGCCGTGAGAAAAAAGCAAGTGGACACTGTCACTTGCTAGCTGTCAGGGCACAGCCCCTGACCCCACACACCCTCAGGTACCCTTCCCCCATTTTCTCCTATTTTTCCCTTCACTGTTCCACAATCCCGCATGCATGCAGACCGTGGGAACTTTCTGGGCAAGCAGCTCGCCCAGAATCTTCCCATGGGGGGGTGCCAATTATGGAAAGTCGGCAAAGAGCCGAAAACTGTATAGTTCCCGGCTCCCATTTGTAGCAGCTTCACAGGAGGTTGAGAAGGTTACCCTTCATTTCCTGTGAAGGCTGGGGCTAGCCCCCTCATTGAGTTTGAAGATCTCAGACTGGGACTAGATACCCCAGTGACTAGGAGGATCCCCCTGGGTCTGTCATGGAACGAGGGCCGGGCCCTGACACTAGCTGTGAGAGAAAAAGCAAGTAAACATCGTCACTTGCTAGCCATGAGAAAAAAAGCAAGGGAACATCTTCACTTGCTTGCCGTGAGAAAAAAGCAAGTGGACATCCTCACTTGCTAGTGGTGAGAAAAAAATCCTACTATGATGGTAGTCTGTCATATCCATACAATCCTGACCTCCGCTCCGGGCTCCCGGAACTCCGAACTCCGACTTCCGGAGCCCTACTTCCCTTCCGTCACCTTCTCCTTGCCGACTCCCAAGAGGTCATCCCACCTCCGGCTCGGACACCACCTTCGGTCCGACTCTGGAACATTCCGGGTCCAACCCCAACCTCGACACCTTCCAGACGAGTACGCAAAACCTATGCTCCCGGCTCTGGACCTCCGCTCCGGAATCCCGTTCGCGTCTCTGTCTCTGGAACCTCCGGTCTTAGCTCCGACCTCGGACTTTGACCCCACCTCCACTTATACCCATTGTATTGGTTAGCTCATTCCATTTAATCATGTTTGCCAATATTCCGGAGTTTAACTTCCGAGTTTGGACTTTCCGGACTTATGTCGGACCTTGCAACTATTGCATTGTCCTATCCCTCATTCCTATTTGGGCTGCTGCTTCCTTTCTATTCAGTCAGCTAGCCATTCCCCACTCCCAACCTCCTTCCTTCCTCCTTGGGCCTTGGCCCTTCATTCCTCCTTTGAGAAACACCATTGAGTCAAACCCTTGACCCTCGGTGTTGTTCCTCTTCCCATCTCCCTTTGTCTCCTTTTGTCCTACCCTCGCTCCTTTTGATTCCGGACCTCTCCTTATATACAATGTACATAGTAACTTGTAACCTCAGTCCGAAATCGACATGAATTCCCCCAAGAGACTTTCCCTCTGCTAGATCCGAAATTAGGGACCCCTAGGACAACCAGCAATGGCACAGTGCTCCGCCTGAGTTGCTGAGGCCAAGGTCCTTCCATGATAAGTCTCCGATTCCACTCCGGAGTCGTCCGAATCCCTGCATTCTAACATAGTCGAGCCACTTGACTTTCAGAACCAATTCAGTCCTTTCCATTCAATCCTACTATGCTGTGGGATAAAATCAATTCAGATCATAGTAGACCTACTATGATGGTAGTAGATCCCTTGGACTTGCTGAACAAGAAATGGTCAGTGTTAGAACTGGGCAAGGGTGGACGATTCCGGAGGGGAACCGGAGACTTATGTTAGACACTGGTCTGGGGTCGGCACCGAGGGTCGCCGTTGCGGGCCACTATAGGCTGCGATGGCTGTGATGCCACACACAAGGCCCGAGGGTAGGGCATTTGGCCTCAGCAACTCTAAAGGAGCGCTGTGCCCCCTAGCTGTCTCTTGGCCCTCATTTCAGACTTACTGGGGTTGCCTTGTT